CCATCAACCGCAACCACACCGAGGCCCACACCACTATCCCCTTCGTTTCCAGAGACTTGTGAACGCTGAAGACATCCCTGACTCCACCAACAAATCCCGTAATCCTGGGGAGTTCCAATCAACCAACTAAGCAACGGGGGCAGGTCGCGACCCATCCCTAATTCTATCTACGGCCTCCGAACTTCCATGCAAGGACTCAATCGCTGGAAAAGCCGATAGCGACGAAGACTGGGTCGCGTCGCGAACCATCGTAGAAGCCTACCGATCGCCAAACTGGATTGCTTCACCGACTCCGACCCGAAAGAGATGGATTTCTCCTTCGCGAAAGCCCTAATTCCATTCTTGTCCCTCCAGAACCTCTTCCCGCAAGAAGTTTTCGTCAATCCCCCAACTCTATTTCTGCAATCGGGTGCAGATTGTCACACAATGATAATGTGTATGACATCATCGAGCCTATGGATCCCGCTGCTGATGAGCTCCGGAGTGGTGGTAGAATCTGGGTCCAAGGGAGAAGAATGGGTCGAGTAGTCCAAGCCAATCTCGATGATGTGTGGATGCGAGGCATCGTCCCCCGCCGTCGGAGCTGTTGGATTTAGAGTGTCGGAAATGGGTGAGTAGACGCTGGGAGCGTGGATGGAACCCATTTCCGAGTTAGGGATTGGGAGAGAAGACGAGCTATGATTCGACGACGAAACTCAATTTGGGGAAGAAAATTGGATTGAGCTGAATTGACAAAAATGTTGAATCAAAAGAGATTAAGCTGAATTGACACAAATACCCCCCATTTAGATGGTCATCTAACAGGAATACAGACAGAGGATCAAAATTGTCATAGTCACAATAAGTGTGTCCATAAATTGTCCAAATTTTTTATGGAGGACTAAAATTGTCTATGTCACTATAAGTCTAGGACCAAAAAAGGAATTCACTCTTAAATATAATATCCAATACTATAAAATGTATTTTTATATTTCAATCACGAATAATTTTTGTTTTTGTATTAAGTTAAGTTGTGTTAATTAAAAACAAATGTTAGAATTTACCAGTTTATTTTCACAATTATGAAATTGCCTAATTGTAAACTCTAAACATTAGCTCATAATTTTGAATTTTTTTTTTTATTGTACTTGGTAAAAAATGGTAGATATAATATCTTAACTCTACTAAATCTTCATAATTATGAAAAAAAAAAAAGTGTGTAAAAATTTCTTTAATTGTTGATATAAAGGAAAATATGCTTACATTTTCCTAGAATATGTGATTTTGTTGGCAGACAAAAAATTACTTTCCTCATTGTGTAGACCATTTCACACAAGACCTCTCTCAATTTCTTTGTAGATTTTGATTTTAAGGTTTTTCTTATATTGAATGGAAAGAAAAGTGGATATTACTACTTTGCCCTCTAATTTCATTGTACTTTTACAAAATAATAATAATAATAATAATAATAAAAAATCAAGGAATGACTATTAGTGATAGTTTCGGTGGTAGGCTTGTATGTTGAAGACCAAAATTGGTAATGCCTCAAATTAAGATGATCTTTAGTGGAATTTACTCAAAAAAAGAAAAAAGAAAAGGAATAAGGTTTAAAGTGGGCAATAAACGTAATCTGAAAGTGCAATTAGGTCATTGAAGGAAAAAAAAATGCAATTTGGCTGCCTTATCTCTTCAAAGTTTTTTTTTTTTTTTTTCTTTTTTAATGAAGGGATGAAGGCAGTGGCCCTGGCTAATTATCCTGTTCTTTTTTTTTTTTTTTTTTTTTTAAATCTTAACTAATTACCCGTTGGTAACTTGTTACTGCAGGTCACTTGGAAGAAATTACATGATTTTACCGTGTTCAGTGGACTAATTGTATTTTTTTTTTTTTGGTTTAATGGCTTAATTACATTTTAAGGTTACATTTAGTGGTCAAGTGGTATTAAAGTCTTTCATGAAAATTTGAAGCAAATAATTCCACTATACATTTGGACTCCGCTTTTCCAAATTTTACGTTTTTTTTTTAGAGTTAATACCCAAAATCGTCCTCGACTATAGTGGTTTTTCTCAATTTCGTCCTAAACGACTTTGGTGACCTAATATCGTCCCAGACTTTTGTGTTTCGCTCAATTTAGTCCCAGACTTTTGTGTTTTTGCTCAATTTAGTCCCTCATTTGTTATTCTGTCCATTTGGTGTTAAATAATAGACAATTCAGTAATTTTAATATTGGCATCTCTTTACCCATAGACATGTGAACCGCGAAATCCCTTTTTTTTTTACGAATTACTCCCAGAATTACTCCTAAAACTGCGAATATACAATTTGATTTGCAGGTCCGGGAGTAATTCTGGGTGTAATTCGTACAAGAAAGAAGAATTTCGCACTTCACAAGTTGAAAGTAAAGAGAGATCAATATTGACATTATTGAATTGTCCCTTTATTTAACACCAATTTGACGGAATAACAAATGGAGGACTAAATTGAGCGAAACACAAAAGTCTGGGACGATATTAGGTCACCAAAGTCGTTTAGGACGAAATTGAGAAAAACCACTATAGTCGAGGACGATTTTGAGTATTAACTCTTTTTTTTATTAACTATGTTCTTAATTAATTTAACTAAACGTTTAATTACATTTTTATTCTAATAAATGCAATGTTTTGAAATAAATATATGTTCCGAAACTGCATAAGAAATTAAGAACATTACGTAATTAAAAAACAAAAAATCATCACTGAAAGCGTATATAAATATAAGTAACTTGGGCAACTCTCATCCTTAGTCACTGAATTGATTTAATAACTACAAAATTTTAAATTTGACTTTTTATAGGAGTTGCTTGTTGGTCTTTTTGATTTGAACCAATCAATTATGAGTAATATAGTTTGGTTTATTTCTTGTGGTTTTTAGTCATTCAATGACTAAAATCATCACTTTATACATAACTTATGAGTTAAACGTGGGTCAAAGTATATATAATTGAATAACCAAAATATAATTATCCTTAAAATATATATGTAATTTGATAGGGAATATATGAGTACGGCTAGACGTATTCGAATGAGACCGGTTAGAACTGACCATCTCCGACCTCTGTTAACCCCATATCCCGACCCGAACAAACATTCGGTAGACTCCATTTTGCACTAACCTCTCCTGACCGGGAAGTCCATTAACATGACTGGTCGCTAAGCCTTTTGCCCCCCCCCCCCCCCCCCCCACCCCCCCCCCCCCCCCCCCCAATTAATTCAAAGATACTCACTGGACAGAACAATCATTCATATCACATCTCATCACCTTTTCAGTCTCATCTAAACACTTGACATGATAGTTATGACCACCCAACCTACACTCAGCAAATGTAAGACATACCAATAGCCCGTCATGTACACCATGTCTTACCTATAAAAGACACATTAATTGCTAGAGTGAGGGACCTTTGGACTTCTCCCGCACATTAGACACTTCCGACCATCCTATTTTGTTTACTGATCTCATCACTAACAGGAGTAGTCATATTCACTCGGGTTTAGACACAAAACCATGGAACTACTAATCCAACCCCGATATTTGTCACATCATAAAAAAATAGTAATAATTAAATCTTCTTAATATAAACCTAAAAACTAAGTTAATAATTAATCATTTAAATATAATACAGAGTATGTGGTTTATATTATCTATTTATTATATTTTAAATTATTATAATAGAATCATACTTTTAACATTAAACATCATTGTTGGACACTTATTTTTACACATCACACATATAAATACTAATTTCTTGATAAATGTGAAAGTAGACCATGTGCTCAATTTGAAAGTATATGAGATACTATATTGTAATAGAGCCACTAGCATTCCAAAAAAGACCATGTGCTCAATTCTGTATTTTTTATTTTTGAAAATCAATCACAAGCTAGTTATAGATTTGTATTTTGATCAATGCATTCTGAATATACTACAAGAAATTATAAAGGTCATGTTTGGTAAAATAGTTAGTCTATAGGCCAAGTTTGACTTATTTAATCACTATTAGCTCTTTGACTTGGTTAAAAAATCAATATAAGTATTTGGTTAATTGCCTTTTTGTAACTTCAAAATGTTAAAATTCGAAAAGCTACTTCTTCAATTAGCTTTTTGAGAAAAGAAATTATACCAAACAGCTATCAGTTAACAATTAATTTACCAAACACATTTCTACAATTAGCTAATGTTACCAACTAATTATACCCTCTAATTAACCCAATCAACTAACAGCTATCAGCAATAACCATCTACCAAACAGCGCCAAAATGTTTCTTTTATTTTAATATTTGTTTGTGTATAGATACGTGCTATGAATTTGAGAGAATGCTTTTGGTATTTACCCTCTTCACCTTTCTTTAGAACTGAGATTATAACATTATGGCTAAGCAGCTGATAATAATATCCAAGTGGTGTGATAAATAATTTATCTCTAATTATATAATTCAAGTGATATAGTCTCGCATAGTTTCATAGCAATTACACGTTCAACATTCTCTATAATCATGAACATTGGTCCATCTAGTAAGACAAATCACTAATATAAGATACATTTTTTATATAGGGAAAATGGTCAAATACACTCTCAAATTTTACCCAAAAAATTAATTAGACCTTAAATTGTTTAAAGTTACAATTAACCCATCAACATTTTATTTTTAGTGCAGTGAAGTTTAAAAATCGAATAGTGACCTGTGATAACAGATTACTAAGATTTCAATAACCCTCTGACAGACTATAAATTAACCATCAACCGGCACCGATTACCGGTCACCATAAAAGAATCCTCAGAAGGTGATTCTATTGTTGGCCTAATTGTTATATCATTTAAATTTCAAGGGACTATTTAACCATTTTATTTTTTTTGAAGGGGTTTTTTAACCTAAAATTATTGTGGATTCAATTCAAAATTTCTAAAAGTGTTAAAGGGGTGATAAGCAGAAATTACAAAAGTTGGGGGACCCATTTTATTATTTCAAAATTCAAATTATCATAAAAAATTAAAAATTCCTCACAAAAAATCACACTCCCTCACTTTGTACTTCCGCTCAACACATTTATACCCACAAGCAAATCAAATCACCTCCTCATTCGGACTCCAAGCTTCGAGAATCAATCGGAATTAATGGTAAATCTGATTTGGTTTTATTTGTCTGTGTCCTGAAAATAAAATCAATTGAGTTTTATTTGAGATTTTTAGGGCTTAATAATTTTCCTATGAACTATATTCGGCCTGTTTGAACTGCTGCTTTTAGATTTTGGACTATGTATTACAGTTTTCAAGTTTTGATTAATTTTCTGCTATATATTTCAGTTTGTGTATTGAGGAATTGCTGGAGAGGTGGAGAGAAAGATAATTGAGAAAAATTATTACCAATTTATTGATATAAAACAAGAATTTGTAGTGAAATGATGAACACAATTTTCACATTAGCTGGGATGTGGTCGGATAAACTAAGAGAGATGTCTTAGATGGCTTCAGACTTTAGTTTTAATGGGCTGTGGAGTGTGATGCTTGGTAGATAATATATATATATATATATATAGCTTTGCCATTTCCTGGGAAAACCTTACTTATGATTTCAGCTTATAATTTTCAACAAGGGTCCTGTTTGTAGAGTTTCTGAATTGAAGTTAGTTGTGCTTCATCTATGTTTGCTAGTTGTCTATGAGATGAGAATTATGATTATTTTCATGCAGTTTAGGAATGAGAACCTCTCTATTAAGAACTTGTTTCAAGGTTAATATGTGCCCTTTCTGATATTCATATTTACTTATCAAGTGTTGTTTTTCTCCTTTCATATTTATTTACTAAGTGATTAGGATTTTCACACTTGTAATGCCTCATTTTTGCTATATCTTGAGACAATTAAGTTGTATTTCCTAGTTTTGTCATTCTTGAGTTTTAGTTTCCAGTGGGTATATGACAAATAAACTTAATTGATACAAGTTTCCGTTAAGTCGTTAACCTCAATATCTATTATGATTGAGTGCAACGAAGGTACTAACTATAACAGTCTAGGGGCGTATAATCATATTGTAATACTAGTTAAATTGAAATAGAGAAGATTTCTATTTCAGCATCAATGTCATTAAAATGTAAAGATGCTTAAGAAATCACAGATGAAGTTTTCTACCTGGAATATTTTCCGGTGGGAGCGAATTTGTGTTCTAGCCTCAAATCTGTTTGGTTATATGTGTATTCTTTTGTTGAACTGCTGAAATTGGCGTTTGGCAGGATGGGCATGATGGAGATAGTTCAAAACAAAGCACTGATATGACTGTATTTGTAAGTTTTCGTATAAACTATTTAATTTTCACTTTCTTTGAGATAAATACTCCAGGGTGTCTAACAAGCAAACTTGGATTTTCCAATTGTAATATCAGCAATAGAAAATGGATTTAATGAATACTGACCTCAAGTATTAAGATTTCTAGTATACATTCTTGTGTTCATGGTGAATGTTTTCTTTCCATACCCCTTTCAGGTACAAAATCTTCTTCAACAAATGGTGAGTTTTCGGGCTCCTCCAGGGTTTTTCTTTGATTAATTCTATCATTTGAATGTTTCACAGATCTATCAGTTTTTAAATGATTTTCCTTTTCATTGCAGCAAAGTAGGTTTCAGGCAATGTCTGAATCTATCATTTCAAAAAATATCCTTTTTCCATTGCCTTCTTTTTATATTATATCACCTTTTTTTTTTATTTTTTATTTTTATATATACCTCTTGCACTCTTGCATTTCTTTCTTAGACCAACTATTTCATGCATTTCCTTTAGGGTCCGCTTGGAAACCTGGAAAATGTTTTCCGAGTTTTCAATGTTTGGATGCAACAGGAAAATCCAGTCAACGGAAAACATTTTCCGTTGACTGGGGAAAATGATGCCATTTTGGTGGAAAATGACTTCCGCCAAAATTTGGCGGAAGTCATTCTCCGCCAAAATTTGGCGGAAGGGTTTAAACATACAATTCTACTCATTTTTTTCAGAAAATAAACTAAACACACCAAGTTTTCCAAAATGCAACCAAACACGGGAAAAGAAAATGTTTTTTGGAAAATGACTCATTTTCCTGCTTTCCAAACGGACTGTTAGTTCAAAATCAATTTTAAGTGAATATGTTGCAACTGCCAATGGCGATAAGAAAGGTGTCATGATGAATTTGTAGTCTCTTTTACTGTCATGGGAATGTTTAAGAGTGCCTTAATTATGCTTTGTGTAAAAATAAATTTTGCCCTTGACAATGTTGCACTTGATGAGATGGGCAATCGGATTGATGAATTGGAGCAGAGCATTAATGATCTGAGGTCAGAAATGGGTCAAGACGGGTCTCCATCACCATCAGTGGCATTGAAGTCCAAGGAAGAGCCCAAGTCGGAAAGTGATTCAGCGTAAAACTATGCATACTGTAGTATCTAGATATGGCTGGACGGGCTTTTGTCATGTTTGGTATGATTTCCATAAGATTATTTTGCTATAGTGGGTTAACTCTTGGAATTTCAGCATCTTAATTATATTTTCTTTAGAACCGGATTTCACAAGGAAAATTCTCCAAATGCCATTTGGTCTTTCTTGAATTTGTTGTATTCTCTATATGTAGTGTAATATACTTGGGAGCTTGTTCAAGCCTATCCATGTGGTTTAGCATTATTTGTTTAACCTGATAAAAATTATAGATTTATGCCTATCAGGTGAAAATTAAAACCACATGCTCTGGTTTAAGCACTTGCTCAACCCCTCCCCCCACCTCCCAAACCTGGTTTTATTTTTTTTATTTTTTTTTATTTTTTTTTATTTAAATAATGGAATGTAATCTGTGTGCTCACTGTGGTGCAGTTGCAATGGTGACTTTTTAACTAAATAGTGAAGATCAAAAGATTATGCAATGGAAAATAGGTTTTTCAAAGAGTTTTGTTGAAATGAATGAATGTGTGAGAGTAGATAGATAGAAATTAAAGTGCTGATATGAGACTGAAGATTTTATAGTGATTCAAGATGATGTAATATTTCCTTGATACAATTACAGTGAATGAAAGATCAAATGTTTTATTACAAAGCCAACACTAATTAATTAATATAGGTTTTCAAAGACAACTCCTATTACTCTTCCTCTATTTTGACCTCTCAATAGGTACAACAATTTAACACAAAGGTTGAAAGAAAATAATTCCAAATAAGAGCATCCATATAAGTTAGAGTTTTTTTTCTCCAATTTTTTGTGGGTCTCAACATCCATCTCATCACTCAATCACAAAAATCTTTCTCCACATTAATTTGAAATTTTTTATTAATTTTTTTATGGACCCACCATTTTTTTTATCCTTTATTTTAATTACTTCTTTATTTATTTGAATTATAAATTTATAATTGTAATGAAATTAATTAAAATAAACGTACCTATATTTAATTAAAATGATAATTACAAACATTTAAATAATTTTCGTTGTTACTCTTTTTATTTTAATCATTTTAAATTTTAATTGTAATTAAATCGTTCAAAATTTAATTCAAAAATATTAAATTTGATATTTTACAAAAAAATAAAATTAAAATAATAAAACAATAAAAATAAACAAATTAAATGTAAAAAAAAAGGAGATACATGTGAAAAACAAAACAGAAACAAAAAGAAAAAAAATAAAAAAATTAAAGATTATTGTGTTTAGATTTGACATGTGCAGATTGCGTCCAATAGTTGCTTGCAATTTGACCATAAAATATGTTTTTTTTTTTTTTTTTTTTTTTTTTTTTTTTTTGCAATTTTCAAGAACCTTTGTTGATAAGATATGATTCACCTTGGATAATGTGCCAACGATCCAAAAGCAGTAAGGAATAGACAGTGAATGTTAGTGGAGAAGTCCTTTTGCTTAGTTATATCAGCCACATATTGCTCAATAGAAGTCTTGCTATTAACACTTTTATTGTATGCTCAAACTCGTGCTGCTCTCAACCTCTAGTGTTTGTTGAAACCCTCCAATATTGAAAAGTGTTGTTGTGCTAATGCAAGCCATACATCACATGACAAAAGTCCTTGCTTGTAAGAGTCGTGTTGCTTATAGGATTCCAATTGTCACAAGGTATTGCTGTTATCAACTTACGCCGTTGCATGAGTAAAGGCTTATTGTATGATGATGCCAACAAATATGTCACCTTAGAACTGGTGTTGTTGTGAAGTTGTGCTGCATATGTAGACTCTTGCTTCTGGTGACTTCACCACTATGAAGTTAGCATCTAAGACTAGCTGTGTTGAGTCCTTATTGTATATATATCACTTGGGGTGCGTTTGGAAACCCGAAAAATGACTTCTGAAAAATGTTTTTCAGGTTTCGGGAAAATGAGATGGAAAATAGTTATGTTTTGAAAAAAAATGAGTTTTTTTTTTTTTTTTTTTTTTTTGAAAGTCATTTTCCAAGGTATGCATATGCAAAATTTGTCTGGCCTAATTTCTAGCGGGCTTTTGCAGGCCGGCCCACCAAACCCGTGGGCTAGGGTTCATGCAACCATAGTTTGCCCCGCACAGGTTTACGGGCGCCGTGGGCCGGACCGTGGACTTTTTTATTCGCAATTAAAAAAATAAGTAAAGCCTACAAAGAGTAAAATCTATAAATATTTTTCGTATTTAAAATTTTTTAAAAATTATATTTTTAAATGTGTGTGTGTGTGTGTGTTATTAGGGCCTAGCCTGCGGGTTGGCCCGTAGCCCGTGCGAGTTAGCCCGCATGGGTTGCGGGTCTTAGAGGGCTAGGCCCATTAGGCCCTCTATTTCGCGGGACTTTTTTTGTGGCCCTAACCCGCCAAATTTATAATATATTATACTTTCAAAATGGATAATGAGTGAATGGAAAATTAAATTCTCAAAGCAGACCCATTTGAGTTGTAAAATGAAGTATACAATTCTGTTCATTTTCCTGCTCATTTTATGGAAAATGAACCAAACATAAAAAGACAGTTTTTCGTTGTGTAGCCAAACACCGGAAAGAAAAATGTTTTCTGGAAAATGACTCATTTTTCAGAGTCATTTTCCAGAAAACATTTGCCAGAAGTCATTTTCCTGCTTTCCAAACGGAGCCTTATGTGATTTTGTAAAGAAAAATCAGTTTACTAATACACAATTTTTTTGAGGGGGGAGGGGGGAGTGACCATGTTTTTGAAGGCGATGGGGTACCCCCTCCACGACAAAAATATACATTTGGCAAACAACATCATGGATACATTCCGCTTAGAATACCCTTACGTGTTTTCACACTCAACACTCGCAACAGAGGAGGAGTTAGAATCTTTCAAGCCATATAAATAATCAACATAACCCGAAAATACGTAAAAAAAAAAAAGAAGAATTATTCTACATAAAAAAAGTGACAAAACAGCAAGCTAATTCGACGAAAAAATAACATGTTAGCATTTTGTTTTTTATTTTATTTTTCCATGTAAACAAATTAGATTGGTTACTTGTTAGAAACTTGCTAAAAATGTTAGATGAAAAATAATTGAAAATATAATGGCCTAGATGGACTATATTTTAATTAATGGTGCTAGATGAACAATCAATGTTAGTACATGGATTTATTTGACCCTTCTGCCCTAATTAAACTATCAAAAAAATGCAATGACGTCCAAATACTACCTATCCAATAGGCTCATTTGACATCTTATAATGATTTTTCTTGGAGTTAATTCCACCAGAGGCCCCTTGTCTTTAGTGGCAATTCCAAATTTAGTCCCAGACTACCATTTTTGTCATTTTACATCCTAGACTATCGTTTTTGGATACTTTTAGTCATTCTCATGATTTTTTCTATTTTTAGTAAGGGCATTTTTGTCTCTTCATGTTTTTCTTTTGTTATTTTTTTGGTTTCAACCAGTTTTAATGGTTTAGGACGAATTAATTACCAAAATGGTCCCTTGACTATAGCAAAATTACCAATTTAGTCCTTGATTATTTTTTAAACCAATTAAGTCCCTCAACTTTAAAAATTTTAATCAATTTGGTCCTCTGTTAGTTTGACCGTTAATCAACTGTTAACTTGGGACCAAATTGATAATTCCGCTATAGTCAGGGGATCATTTTGATAATTAACTTTAGGAGTGGGCAATTCGGTTTAGTTTTCTCGAATCGAACCGTACCGTACCGAACCGAACTAGTTTGGTTCGGTAATATACCGAACAACCGAACGGTAAGGGAAGAAAAGATGAAGAAAAAGGCTCATGTTTGGTGTTGGGTATTTGCAAGAGTCAAGTGAGCACTCTTTCCTTAAAACCTTATTTGCCACCTCCCAAAGATGCTAGGAGCGTTGTGGCCTAGGCTTCCCAGGATAAAACATGCTAGTGATTCAATGTTTGAGCACTCAAACAAGGAATCCGGCGAGCAAGACACGGTTATGAACACAATAGGCTAAAGAAGGAGTAGAAGCAGAGAGGTTTTGAGGCTAAAAATTGAACTTTCGTGTTCTATTTTTCTGTGTGTGAAACTCTACTGCCTCTACCCTCTCTTATATAGGGTTGAAGGAGCCAATAGCCTTTATTATGGCAATTAAAAATGACATTAAAGCTGCCTTCCAACAGCTATAACAGTAGGCCACTACCTGAGAATTGAATTCAGAATTCAAAATTGGAGTTAATAGGATATTAATTCCGTAACAGATGAATTCAATCCCCATAATAGTCAGAACTTTCGGGTTCCAGACCGTTGGCGTACAGGGTTCGGTCTCAACTTTCGACCTTACCCAGTTTCGGCCCTTGCACCTCTCATGGTCTCTGTTGCACGAGAGTTGTGCTCTCGGTGCACCACAACCTCTCGTGCTCTCTTGTAGCACGAGAGTGGTGCTCTCGGTTTCGACCAACCGAGGCAAGTGACTATATCGGTTGGAAAATGATACCGACCAACCGAGGCAAGTGACTATATCGGTTGGAAAATGATACCGAAGTTTGGCATAATTTACCAAGCTCGGGTTTGAATCAAGCTTTTTTCAATCTCGTCTAGTTGAAATTTGATTTGCACCCCCCTCGCGCGAGAGAACCTCTATGCTATACAATTCTACAAGCTTTAAAAGAGCTCTTGTATATAAGGGGGGAAAATCTTCATTCCAAAGCAATGTGGGACAAAAGCTCACTTTTTCCCTTCATTTTCCAACTCAAATGGGTCTACTTTGAGAATCAATATCTCATTCACCCATTATCCGTTTTGAGCGTACAATATATCAATCTCTTCATCTCACTATGAAGAATCCGAATCCACTTTGACCCGACCCAAATTGGAAGTGGACCCCACTGATAATTGTACCACAAAATAGCCACTTAACATGCAATTTTATGCCATTTAAGCTATTTTTTCCAACAGCATGTGCCTGGTTCTAGGACTCTCGTTTCTATTTAGCTTGTGCAGGTTCAGACAAAGCAAAGAAATTATTATGGAGTCTCAATTACAGCTTCAAGCAAAAAAAGAAAATTTAGCAAAGAAAACAATCACGATGTACATTTTGAGTGGGAACTCTTTTGGTAATCTCATATGAATAAATACAATTTGTGTATTTATTGATAACTGGTTTTCCCGGCTATATTGGTTTTCTTGGTTATATATATGGATTCTCTTACTGCAGTTTATATCGGCTTTTGGATTATCTTTTTGGGTTATTGTTATAAATTC